ATGGTGCCAATCCGTGCCCCGATACGAACGGGTGTGCACGATGCGGACTGTGCCATCATACGTTGCTGCATTTCGACAGAGCAGAGGAAGGCAGCAGTGCGAAATCTCAGGCGTACTCGCATGGGAAACCTTCTTCGACGGGAAATTCGAAGAAAGCAGGTACCTCTGGGAAGGAGAAAAAGAACTCCAAACCGGCAGCTACCAAAAAGACGGTATCGTCAAATTGTGGCATGATGACCGGCCCAGCGAGTAAACAGGTGCTCCTGGCAACTGCATTGATCGAAGTGCATGGGCCGAACAATAAATCGCAAGTAGGTCGCGCGTTACTTGACCAGGGGTCAGAAGCGTCCTTCATTTCGGCGGACGTAGCGAACGAAGTACGTCTCGCTCGAAAAAGAACCTCAGTCGTGGTCACCGGGCTTGGAGGTGGACGGACCGCTGAGTTGAAACATAGCGTTGAGGTGACCTTGGGTTCAGTGGCAAGCAAAGCACCGATGGTTAAAGCAAGTGCATTCGTCGTGCCGAAGATTACCGATTACCAACCGCGGCCGACATGCATCCCGCTGAAGGAATTCTTCAAAGATCTGAGGCTTGCAGATCCCGAACCGGCGGCAAATCAGCGCATAGACGTACTGCTAGGAGCCGATGTATATGCGCAGGTAATCCGAGAAGGAATTCGTCGGATAGACGATCATTCTCCGATCGCGCAGAGCACCGTTTTCGGATGGGTGCTCTCTGGACCCTGCCAAGGCGCAACTCCCTTGAATGCAGTAAGGACATTACACTGTAACACAGATTCGTAAATTCTGGGAGGTAGAATCTGTACCAATGAAGGTACAGAAAACGAAAGACGAAGAAGAGTGCGAGGCACACTTCTCGCAAACGGTGCAGCGAGCAGCGGACGGTCGTTTCGTTGTTCGGCTCCCGTTCAAACGATCGCATCCAGAAACGGAGTTGGGAGATTCGCTGAAAAGCGCTCTCTCCGCATTAACACGCCTCCGGAAGAAACTAGATGTCGATCAGGCCCTCGTAACGGCATACGATGATTTCCTGACGGAATATGAGGACCTAAAACATATGACGCGATTGAGATCAATCGAATCGTCAAGGCTTTACATTCCGCACAGGGCCGTAATTCGTGAAGACAGTGCAACCACGAAGTTACGAGTGGTCTTCAATGCGACGAGCCCGACAGCGAGCGGATGTTCGCTGAATGAACTTCTTCATGTTGGGTCGAAGTTACAGCGAGACATGACCATCATTTTGACGAATTGGAGATTGTATCAATTCGTGATGGTGGCGGACATTGAAAAAATTTTCCGTCAAATTCTCGTCGCCCCAGAAGATCGTCGTTTCCAATGCATAGTCTGGCGTGCACCAAAAACTGAGCGTCTCTCAGCGTTTGAATTAAATACCGTGACTTATGGTACGGTCTGTGCCCCATACTTGGCTATGCGAACGCTTCTTGAACTTGTACGCGAGGATGGAAAGGATTTTCCTTTCGCCTTACCCGTGATTGAAAAGGACGTCTATGTTGCCGACGTTTTCCTCAGTGCACCTGATAAAGGTCGATTGGAAATCATTCGGAAACAGGTTTCCCAATTGTTATCAGAAGGAGGCTTCCATTTAAGGAAATGGGCAGGGAATACAGTGTGTTTAAAGAACGGCGTTTTAAAATTAAAAAAGAAGGTTTCCGGAGTTTTCTCGGCCTTATAGAATTTAATTTTAATAAAACGTTAGATTTCGAAATTGCTCGAGTATAAGAAACGGTGCGACGTTTCTTATACCGATGAGTCAACGCGAGCCGTACCGAGAAAAAATAATAACACCGTCTGCCGGCCGGAATCACCGGTAACGAGAATTCGCATTCGAATTCTCGGAACAGGTGTTCTCGCTCTACGAAGAATAAATAATAGAAAAGGACAGATTAATTCGTCGAGGACGCCGCACAGCGGAGGATTAGTTTTCCTCGACGGACAAGCGGAGCTCCGCGGTCTGTCAGCACATAGCCGTCACAGTGAACAGATCGGAATATTTCGATACTGCTCTCACTACTCATCAAGGAAGAATTCATAATCTGAATCTATCGCAGAAAAGGACGAGGAATAGACTGTATGCCAGTCCCTCTCAACCCTTTTCAAACTTCCACATAAGAGAATCGAAAGATCAGTTCTTTCGATTCTTGGTTACGTTGCCCCGCACTGATTTCTTTGCAGGGAACAAGATACGAACAGGAGGTCGTATCTTGCTAGTGGATTACGCTCCGGGTCAGTGGCCAATTGTTGGTCGACCGCCGGTTGTGAGATCGACGCATTCGTCAAGGGCCTGCAGTGGGTATTGGATAATTCACCCGATACTGCAGGGTTCCGCGAATAATAAGCGTTTTCGATCTCCCTGGTGAAGGTGCACCAGAGAAGAGTGTAGCTTGCAAGCGTACTGAGCTTGTGCATGCCAGTAGAAGTTCGGATTTACGACCCGAACTTCCGCGTACAGCCACTTTGGTTGTGCGTGCAATTGCAAGCGGCGTAACGCGAGCACGGTTTCGGCATACCGAAATCTAGTGTGAAAAATAAGGGCAACGAAGGAAAGAGTATTCTCTTTCGAATAATTCTTCACAGTCCGCGACTGTTATTCAGTCGTTAATTCAAATTAATAAAATCGGTTCGTTCGTTTGCTTTGTTTACAGCAACAGACGATAGGAGCTCGGCCTCAGCCTTCGCCGAGGGAAAAACTGTACAAAGAAATTATTGTACCACCTAAGAGCAATCGCCGGCAGTGTCGGCGGTTGAATAAACTGTTATCTATAAAAGGATTCATACTTTTATTTTATTTCAACCTGCTTCCCTCTTATCCGGAACCAGTCAAATTTTGTTTAGGCTAAATCTCCTAACACAGTGGAATTGCTGAGAAATATCCCGAAGACAGAGCATTCCCACGCAGCCGACCTCTCATTGTTTGAGGATTCAGAATTAAAAGTTCTGGGACTGCGCTGGGTACCATCGAAAGATTATTTTTATTTCAATTTGACGCAGTTCCAACCGTCAGCCACTACTCCGATTAAGAGATCTTTATTCTAAGAGATCGCGAAACTGTATGACCCTCTCGGTTGGCTTTCACCGGTGGTCATTCGTGCGAAAGTGTTAATGTAGTCCCAGTGGTTGGAAAAAATCCAATGGGACGATGCAGTTTCGGATGACACTCACAGAATTTGGAATTCATTCTGTGAGGACTGGGCAAAATTAAATGAACTGCGTATTCCTCGATGGGTAGGAGTCGAATCGGAGGTAATCTCCGTGGAATTGCACGGGTTTTGCGATGCATCTTTGGCTGCGTATGCAGCCGCCGGGTATGTCCGCATGACGACGACCAAGCACGGCGTTAAGACATCGTTGCTCATGGCCAAGTCGCGAGTCGCTCCTATTAAAACGCTTACGGTCCCAGTTCTGAAATTGAACGGTGCGCTCCTCCTTTCTGAACTGCTCCAGCACATCACGAGTTCACTGGCGATCAAAGTGCAGCGTGTTTGTTGCTGGACCAATTCGACGATAACGTTGGCCTGGTTGAGAAAACACCCGTCAACGTGGAAAATTGTAATCGCGAATCGGGTGTCGAAAATCCAAACGGCTTTGCCGACTGCGATTTGGCGGTACGTTCCAACTCGCTCCAATCCAGCGAATTTAAATTCGCGTGGAGTGGAAGCTGAGGAACTTCTCAGCTCATCATTCTGGATTTCTGGTCCTTCATGGCTAAATGAACCAGAAGAGGAATAGCCAAAGACGCCAGCCTCTGTTGAAACTGAGGAAGGAATACGTGCCACGTACGCCCACGTAAATACCCCGAAAGCAGAATGGGAAGTACTCTCCCGCTTTTCGAGGTGGAGTCGTTTACTCCACGTGGTAGCATATTGTCTTCGATTCTACCGAATTTTAAAAGGGGAGAAGACAATTGGATATACGGCACTCGATTACTGCGAGTTGCGGGAGGCAACGAACAGAATCGCGTCATACCTGCAACGTAGTTATTTCATGGAAGAATATCGGTGTCTGGATGAACACCGGGCCATCCCGGCGAAATCTCCGCTAAAAAGTCTCAATCCGTTCTTGGACGAGACTGGCGTCCTACGAGTCGGTGGAAGACTTAAGCATGCGGTAATCGCATGGGAAACAAAGTATCCGATAATACTGCCGAAACATAATGTATCGGAAATGATCATTAGGCAATGTCATCTAAATACGTTGCATGGGGCACTGCAATTGACAATGCAGACCGTAAGACAGCGATTCTGGATCCTCGGCTGTCGCAGCGTTGCGCGAGCTGTTATTCACAAATGCATTGAGTATACGCGCTGGCGAGCACAGCCGTCCGTGCAAATCATGCAAAATTTAATACCTGAACGGTGTCGCCCAGCTCGTGTGGTCGCGAATTGTGGAGTGGACTACGCGGGCCCTTACCAAGTCCGCGACTCCGCTGGCCGAGGAAAGACGGCTCATAAAGCGTACATTTCAGTATTCGTATGTTACGCGACGAAGGCCGTCCACATCGAACTCGTTCATGATTATTCAACGAACGCGTTCTTGGCTGCATTTGATCGCTTCGTATCACGAAGAGGAATTCCGTCCTGTGTATTCAGTGACAATGGAACAAATTTCGTGGGAGCGAACCGCGAATTGATGCGAGAGTTTAATCGCAGTGTCAATTCGCCAGAACTGGTCAATAAGTGTAGCGAACTGGGAGTCAAGTGGAGGTTTAATCCGCCCAGTGCGCCTCACTTTGGTGGCATGCAGGAGGCCGGTGTGAAATCGATGAAATATCATCTTAAACGAGTGATAGGAGAATTCACACCGACCAGTGAGGAAATGCAAACGTTGCTTTGCAAAATCGAAGCGAGTTTAAATTCGCGGCCGATAGCCCCGCTGAGCGACAACGCGGACGATTATTCGGTCTTAACACCAGGGCATTTTATTACCGGTGGACCATTGAACGCGCTGCCCAGAGAATCAGTGGAAGCGGAAAAAATCACGCGGCTTTCGCGTTGGAAAGTACTGCAAAAATTCCACGAGCAGCTTTGGAGAATATGGTCGCGGGAATATCTCCTCCACCTGCAACAACGCTACAAATGGCAAACAACCCAGGCTCAATTGCAGCAAGGTGACCTGGTATTGGTCCAAAATCCTATCTTGCCTCCTAACCAATGGGACATGGGGAGAGTGACCAAAGTGCATCCCGGGGACGATAATAAAGTCCGAGTCGTCGAAGTTAAGACGGCAAAGGGAACATATACGAGGCCGATTACGCGTATGTGTAAGTTGCCTGTAAAAAAAAGACCTAGAGAGTTTGATCAGCCTGTTGGAATAACAGAGGGACCGACATAAGAAATAATTAAAACTTCGACGGTCTAACGGTTTCCGTGGCGAAGGTGAAGAACAAAGGATTGATCGTATGATGGATATTTGTATATTTCTGCCTCCTTCGAATCTTAAGTTGGAACAAGGAGTGGGATGGACTAATTACCACCTCCTTTACTCCGATTCCGAAGGTAATTTCGGAGAAATTCGGACCCGTTTAAGGATTTCGCGGAATCGCGAAATCAGTCTGGTGTCGATCGTCAAACGGTTAAAACCAAAAATGGAAGCAAACATGGTGGTCAATGTGGAAGAGAGTGAAGTGACCGGCTCCACAGAATTCAGTAAAAAATTTAACGACTGCCTCTCGTTGGCCGGCACGCGTGAGGTGGCTGTACAAACGGAGTCGCCACGGAAGCCGGCGCCGTATGACACGGCGGACGAAGATGCGGCCGGCCCGCTCGCCGATCCTCCGGGCAACGAAGAACCACCGGTCAGGGCAGGGCAACCGAGCGTTCGGAACAGGCCAGAAATAATCATCTCGCTGCCCAATGCTACGCTGCGTATTCCCGGACACGTCCCGTTTGGGGCTCGGAGGTTCCGATGCAAAGTAACCGAAGGGCGGTACATATTACGCTGGAACAAGGCGGGGGTGTTGACCTCCCTCATATTGAAGGAAAAACCGGCCGGCTCTGCAACGGTTACAGCGAGCACGCAACCAAGTCCGCCCATGGAACAGAACCAGCCATCCACCAGCAGAGCAGAGCAGAGCGGAAGGGTGCGAAGACGTAATCGCCCTTATCAGCGGTCAGCTGAGAGGAGGAATATTCGTCCACGGGAACCAGCTCAAAGGGAGGATCACTTCCCAAGAACCGAAGCGCCCCGAGGTGGCAGGGACACAGTCGCAATGGGCAATCTTACAGAAAAACGTCGGCGAGAACTGACTAAGGCCCTCCGCACGATGCTGAGCATGTCGCGGTATTGGTGAGTCGAATGACCACTCTATTTTTTTTCCTCTTGATAAATTGCATGCATAAATTCGAAAAACATGTCGTTCCCTGTCGATTGCGCGGACCGCGCAAGGAGGGCGGTATGTTAGAAATTCGCATTTTAATTCGGGAATTAAAGTTCTGAAACGTATGAGTCATCATGCGTTTGCTAGAATCGGGATATTCCTTCCTCGAAAATCGACGGTATCGTCGATAGACGGGAATTCGTCACGTCGAGAATAGAAGAAACGGTTCCCTAATCTCTTAATCCGATTATGACGCGAGCCGCCCGAGCGGAGAAACAGTACAAACGGCCGCGATAACCGGGTCGAATTAAAAAATTAGAGAAACACGCTGTTGACAAGTATCGTATGTTCGGAATTCGAACTTATCGATATTGTCGTTAAAGGCGTTAAATAATTTCGTGAACATCGGAGAGTAAAGGATAGCATGATTCTAGCCAATTCGCAGTCGCGGAAAATCGTGGCCACGCGATCGCGAAGGACGAGCGAACGGTATCACTTCGATATTAACC